CCAGGTCCGAAGTGGCTGCAGGGTGAGGCAGGGCACTTGGATAGCGGGGTTCCTTGTGCAGGGCGCAGGAAGACATTGACGTGGCTTGAATTTCTCTCCTGTGTCAGGGGGCCGGGGGTGGGAGGAGCCCTGGGGTTCTTTGCTCAGGAGTGGGACTCGAGAGGAAGGAGTTGGATGTAATAGCCCAACTCCTCAGTCGGCGTGCCTTTGTTTGCTGGCCTGCTTTGCACCACCCCGCAGCACTCACACCGGGACAGGGCACAGGGGGCCTGCCCTGCGCCTCTGCTGTGGTCCAGTCTACACTGGTGCCCCGTTGGTATCTGGTGTGCTTGTGAGGAGACGTTGAGGTTTTAGTCCTCAGGCTGTCTTTGAGTTTGCTCCTTACACCCACTCTTGCTGTCAGCTGCACAGAATTCATCCGCTCTACCAGGCTCTGTCTTGAGGAGCGTCCACCGGGCATTGTCTGTGTGTGATGGTGTGGGCCTTTGTGTCGTGTCTGTCTTTGCAGTGCGTGGCCGCTGTGTGGTTGTCAGACCGTTTTTCCGAGCCGATCTGCTCACCCCAGGATTTGCCCACTCCTCCATCGTGTTCTTGGCTCCCTGGTCTGTGAACGTAGGATCCGTTTGTCTGTCCAGCCTGATGGTCTGATGGCTTGGTGTGACTGCACAGACGCCCGAGGAGAAGCCGGGGCCAAGGGTCTGGCTCCCCGGCCCTTGGTGACACGCATGGCAAGCCTGGAGCCCAGGAGCCTGTGATGACCCCAGGGCCACAGGCACTTGGCTCCTTCATCCCTGCGTGGGGAGGCGGGGAGGAGGGGCCCGTGGGTGTCAGCCGTGTTAGCAGCCGGTCAGGGCTGGAGCCACCCCGCTGCCTTTCCGCGGGTCTGCCCTTACGCTCCCTGTTCTCGTCCTGTCTGCGGACTCCCTTTCCACCCCGGGGTAACTAGGTGTAATCTCTTGTTCAGCTTCACTCAGATAAACACCAAAAGAGAATTGTGTGGCACTAGCCCCAGCTTCCAAGCCCTGGGCACTTCCGGGGTGGACAGTCCCCTGGGCAGTGGAGGCTATTCTCCTGACTTAGGACAGGGTGGTCTCCTGCACCTGCCTCTGTCCTTGGCAGCTGCTTTCCCAGGGTGTGGCCCGGGCCTGCCCCCTTACCCCGTACCTGCTGACCTCTCTGACCTGCTGTCTGTCAGCTGAGCACCCCAGCCTTCATTCCTTTCACAAGCTCTTGGTTAAAGGCCATCTCGGATCGTGCCTCCCTTGGACAGGCTAATGTTTCTCAGCATACCCTGGTGACAGTGACCAAAGAACCTCCGTCTATCGCTGTGCAAGCATCAGGCCTGGGAACGGCAGAGCCGAAGGAAAGAGCTGCAAATTAAATCGGAGGGCTGATAATTTGAGGCAGTTTTCAACTTGAAGTGTGAGAATGGCTTCGGAGGGGATGTGTTCATCTGATGAAAGATGTGTTTGTGCACCATTTTACCAAGGCTTCCCTCTGGACCCTTCAGCAGGTTCTGGGCAAGTGAACATCAATGACTGTAGTTTTTGGATCCATGGGACCCTGTCCCCTGAATGCTCTTCTTTTCCTTTTTAATTTTTTCCCCCTGAGTTTCTTGCTTCCTTTCCACATCGCTGCCCATCACACAAACACTCAGGAGTAAATGCTGCCCCAGTGTGCTGCATTCCACAGGCGCCTCACGTCCGACAAGGACATCCACGGAACTGACTCCTGATTAAAAAGATGTGAGCGAAAACACGCCACTAATGCCCCTGGGAATCTGGGGAACAAACGTGGAATGAAGCAGGTCCCTGTTTGCCCTCGAGAAGGGTGTCCTTCAGTCCTATGCAGCCGAGTCTCTCAAACGCACATGGCAGGTGCCGGCTGCAGAGCTGAAAGCAGGGCTGGCAGCAGAGCGGGAGCGGTGGCATGGAGGGGGAGGTGTGGGTGTGGGGTCAGTGACATCCCCCAGACAGTGTGGCACAGCAGCTGCCAGAATGGGGCACAGGAGCTGCTGTCCCCCATCCTCCACAGGTAACTGCTGGTGGCTGGCACTGGAACATTGAAGGACGGGTTTGGGCGGGCCTTCTTGGTGTGTCTAAAGCCTGCAAAAGACTTCCGGGAGAAAAATGTCCTCGATTTGGGTCCTTCCTTGCTTTCCTGAGGAAATCTCCCAGGAACATGACCTGGAACCTGTCCATGCAAAACACAGAACAAACCTGCGGGAGTCCACTGAAGAATCTGAAGGCGCTTCCAACTGTCCTGGGAGCTTACTGCCATGTGGCTGGCTGGGGAAGTGGAGTCCAGAGGTGGCGGCAGGCAAAGGTGGAGCCAGGCGACCCACTCCTCCTGTAGCTCTGGACTTTGCTCTGACTCTACCACACGTGTGAGAATTCTGGAGTCTCCAGTGGGGGTAACTACAGGAGGCACACGACAGTGCCCCCATCCCGACCCCCTCTGCAAATGGTGGGATGGTGTGAGCCGTGGGACAAATTTGATCAACAGGAAAGAATAACTGGAAAGGACTTGTAAAGTTCTGTCCTCACTTCCACCCCCAGACTGTTCTGGAACACAAGGTCTTGAAATAGTCTGTCTGAAAATATCCCAAGGTGCTGAGAAATTAACTAGGTTCTGGAGCCATGAGCAGTGGAAAGCATCCGCCTTGCACCTGTCTCCCCCTGGCCTTCCTCACTTTCCAGTGACCCCCCACTCCTGTGCGGCTGCTCTTGTAGCCCTGAGTGAGGCACTGGCATGTAACTCAAGTTAAGAAGGAATGTTAAACAATAAAAACAGTGAACTTGGAAGTTGGCAATGAAGGCTGGGGCCTGGGAGAATCTTCGGGCACGCGCCATGCCTTGGTAGTAGCAATAGATGAGGCACAGCACATCGGGGCTCTGTGGCCCACGGGAAGTGGGGAGCGGTTGGGGCTGGGTATAGGGTTAATGCAAGCATTTAAAAACTTTATACACAAAACAATTTATCTTTGAGCTGTGCTCTGCTTCACTTCTGAGGTGCCCCCATCTAGGCCCATACCCCCTGACATATGCAAGTATGTTGGGTGAGGAGGTTCTGAGTGAGGATGGCATCAAGCCTTCGGGGTCACAGGAACGGACGTTGTCAGCCCATCATGGCAAACGAAGCGCTGTGAAGACCTCGGTGTTCAGCAGACTCGGTTTCTAGAATCTTGGGGGTCACGTCTGGTTTCCTGTGGGTGTATCTTGCACCTGTCCATCCCAGTGCCTGGTTCTCATCATTTTACAGGTCTGGGATGGAAGCTTGGTGGGGCTCCGTGCTTTGACCACAGTGCTCCTCTGGTTAAACCCCAGGCGTGCTTTCCAAGGCGGGTGAGGCTGGAAGAGGAGGTGGGCTTCTTTAGAAATGGGAGACACTGAAGCCAGGCAGTGACTCTCCTTCAGGCAGTGCATCAAGACCAAAGGCAAATCAGATGATTGCAAAGGAAGCTGTTGAGCTAAGGTCGTGTGTGCCCGGTCGGAGCCCCACAGCGATGCACAGTCCTGCGTCTTCTTCTTCTTTTTTTTTTTTTTTTCCAGAGACGTAAATTCAGGAGTATGTGGAGTGTTGTGGAACTAAATGTATTTGTATGTGTTCAGCACACTGTGTAATTGCCTCAATTATCCACGAGGGAATTATCCACTTTTAATTTGCAATCTGGCTTCTCCTCTCAGTCAGGATGGCTTGGGGACGGCTCTAGTCATGCCAACCAATTTAAATCACAATTTAAGTAAAAACGGAATTAGGAGGAAAATTAAATCCAGGCTCTTGCCAGCTCTTGAAGATTCTGCTGTGGAAACAGAACTCTAGCTGTGCCCCAGTGCCAGTAAGCCTCCCGTGGGCTCCCGCACTAGTTTCCAGTGCGATTCTGTTGCTCGCTTCCTCCCGGTCCAACCAGATTTATGCTGACAACAATCTCTAGAAAAAGCAGTACCCATCACAAACATTTCTCAGCTTGAAAACACTGAGTGCAGAGGAACACACACACACACACACTAGCATTTAGTAGTTTGCCCTTTCTCTCCAGGTGAAGGCGCACACTGCACCTGCCAGCCAAGGGCTTTTCCAGTCTCACCTACTGTTTGTTCTTCAGACTCCATTTAGGCCCGATCGCTCCTTGGCCTTTGGCCCCCCTCTCCCACGCATACCACCTGCCCTTGGAAGTCCACTCTCACCCCTGAATCTCCTGGACAGGCCATGGAATTTTTCTATGGGAGGTGAAGATCTCTTTTGAGTCTCCTGCGAGCTCCTTAGCATCTTCCGACAGTTCAGGACCCTTACTGTGCTGTCCCCACGGATGCATGCACCTTCAGCGACCGCCAAGCGGAGGCAGGGGTCTTGATCTGTCAGTTGTCTGTGCCTAGAATACAGTAGGCATGCACCCACTGGACACTGGTGGGCCCGGATGACATGCACCAAATCCGTGGGTGCCCAGCAGAGCGCCCCGGGGTGCAGGCAGGAGAGGGGTGGATGGTACAGAGCCAAGACAGGGCTGGCAGTGACAGTCCTGCCTCAGCCTGCTGGGAGCCCAGTCCAGCAACCAGATGGAAGGGGGGTTTGTTGCAGCTAGCCTTCCTGAAAGCATTTAATGCCTGTAAGGTGGGGATGCCATCAAAGTCAGTGGAACATGTGAAAAACAAACATGCATGGATTTAAAAATGTTTTTGCACTAAAATACACTTAAAATTTTTTTTTTAATGTCAGAAGCAGAGAGAGGAAAGTGACAGATGACCACAGGCCATAGAGAGAGACACATAAGCACACCCCCATAGCTCATCACAGGACGCTGTACCCCAGCACACACACCCATAGCTCCCCAGGCCTGCCCCGCACACGCCCATCACAGGACGCTGTACCCCAGCACACGCACGCACCCCATAGCTCCCCAGGCCTGCCCCGCACGCGTCCTGCTCCCCGCCCCGCCCCGCCCGCAGGAGCGCGCAGCCGCGGTGGAGGCCGGCGTGGCCCTCCCGGCTTTCCGTCCCGGCGCGGCGGGCGGGGAGCGCGAGCATGGCGGCGTCCGCGGCCCTGATCCTGAGGGAGGGCCCCAGGTAGTCGGGGGTCGCGCCGGGGACGGGGTGCGTGCGGCCGGCCGGGTTCAGGTGACCCCGGGAGCGGGGCCGGAACGTGACTGCCGGACGGGTGTCCCTCTCCCCGCTGCGTCCTGCGCCGCGGCCGGCCGGACTCGGGGACGCTGTGTGTTGGCGGTTCACTTCCCTGTCTGACGGCCCGGGCTGCTCACCAGACAGTTCCCTCGTATCATCAGATGATTAAAGCGCAGGCACCACGTGTAGCGAATGTTGGTGGCGCAGGGGCAGGCTGGGCAGCGGTATTGCGTGTGTGTGTCCAATGGGGCAGAGTCGCCGTTTTCTAGGCCCGGTTCTCGTGGGTCCCCTGGGCTCTGCCACCAGACTCCTCCCTGGGCACCCAGACGGCAGGCCTGGGCATGGCTGATTCCAGCTGGAAAGGTTTGGCAGCCACTGCGCGCTTCCTGCCCACAGGACCTTGTGCACACGCTGTCCTCCGACTCCAGTGCCGTCATTTGCCCCGCCGCTGGTGTTCACTGCTTCAACTGCCACACCCATCCCCGGGGGCTGCCGTTCCTGGGTGGGTTAAGTGGGTGCTTGGAGGGCCCCTGTTAAGCTAATGCCATCCCTCCCCACTCCCCCCGCAGGGCGGGCAGGAGCTCCCCCAGTCCTCAGCTTGCTTAGCTCAAAGGCAAGTGCCCCGTGGAGCTTTTCAGCAGGAGTTGCTTTGGGGGGTCTGGTGGGGGAGGTACTGAGAGGGTCCCTGGCTTTCTGTGTCCTGTCTGTGGTTCCCACTCACCAAATGGCACTCCCAGTTGACATGGAAACTCACAGATCCCCCAACAAGTGTGGCAAAAATGGGAACACTCCATTAAAACTTTTTTTCCCCTCTTTTATCTAGCATGAAAAAAGCGGTGACTCTGATAAATGCCATAGATATAGGAAGATTTCCACGGCTGCTCACCCGAATTCTTCAAAAACTTCACCTGAAGGTCGGTCTGGTTCTCGCAGTTGCCTGTGATCCTGCCTGGTGATCTCGCTGTCATTAACCCTGGTTGGTTTATCTGGAGAACTTTGGGACTGTTGTGTTCTCCGGAGAGCTGAGCCCGTGGAAGGTTTGATGACGTTCTGTGGTCAGAAGTTTGGAAGCGTTGTAAAGATGGGTAGGTAGGTAGGTAGATAGCAGCTTTTTCTCTAGAGGTGTTTCTGAAATGTGGTTAAGACTGCCTGTTAGTTTGATGTGTATTATGGGATTAATGTAGAGTTGAATGTGCTGTGGGGAAAATGGCTTTCACAATTTCTCACTTTTAAGAATTACCATGGGCTGCTTGCCCTGGATCGGTGAGTTCCGTCTATTTTAAGCGTGTGTTTCTTGGGGGGTGTGGACGTTCAGTAGCTTGCTCCATGAGCACCACTCCCACTCCGTTCCACCTCGGAGTGTCAAGAGGTTTTATTCTACCCAGCACACATTTAAGGGTTGCCCGGTAACTGCCCAGCTTGCCACAGGCTGAGAACTGGGACTGTTTCCAATCTCCTCTTCTTTCTCCTGGCCTGGACGTGGCCTGAGAGCATCCCTCAGATCCAAGCTGTGATGCAAGCCCTAGCTGGGTCGTTAGCCTCGCGCCACTGAGAAGGGCTGTGCACTCCTCTTGATCTGTTGAGAAAGTTCCGGCAGAGACTTCAGCACTTGTTGCTTTCCCTGTCCTCTGACTCTGTCAGGGCCATCTTTGAGATGGGCAGAGTGCGTAGCTCAGTGTAACTCGAGACAGGGAAGTGAGTGGCGATGTTTAGAGGTTTGAGTGCTACTGTAGAGGTGGTCAGCTTGGCACTTTGGACACTACCGACAGGCGGAAGGCACTTCCAGACAGTTCCATGGAGTCAGCCCCAGGACTGGAGCCAGCGTGGCCCAGGACATCTGGTGAGCCGAGCACCTGGCCTTCTCCCTGGCCCGTGCTGTGACCTGTACTTATGTGGGGAGTGTTTGGTTGCTTTGTTGCAGTATGTGGCAATGGGAGCCTTTAATGTCCAGGGACTTTTAAACACCTTATAATGTCCCACCTAGCTTTCAGGTAGTCTTCCTGGGAGACACAGGGAGGTCAGGTGAGTTTCCATAGCTGAAGGCTTCAAATGAACAGTGGTCTCTGAGCTTCCAAAGGAGCTGTCACTGGGAGTCCTTTGGTGTAAGTGCTGTGTGCCTGGCCCTGTGGGATCAGCTCAGGGGCTCCTCACCATGGCAGTGGTGAGCAGGGCGTGGGCTGAGTGTGCTACTCTCAGTGGGGCATTAGGCAGCTTCAGGAGTCCCCACTGGCTGTGAGTGGACCTGAGGAAGTTCTGAAAAACATGCCGGAAGTAAAGAAAGCCCCGAGTGTGAGATTTCTTTCATACGAGGTGAGAAGTCATCCAAGTATCTTGGAAGTGCCGTAGGATCCTGAACATAGAGCTCCGGCTTCATAATTACAACCTGCACACAAACAGTGACTGTGATCCAGTAAAACCCTAGGTTGGACCACCTGCGGTTTAGGAATTTGAAAGCCCAGGGATGGCTTTGTTTTTTCAGTGCAGGTGGGTCTGAATGCCCCGTGTGTGCTGATGGTCGTGCTTGTGTTTTAGGCTGAGAGCAGCTTCAGTGAGGAAGAGGAAGAAAAACTTCAGGCTGCCTTTTCTCTGGAGAAGCAGGATCTTCACCTCGTCCTGGAGACGGTGGCGTTCATCTTAGAGCAGGTACTTTCTCTGTCTCAAATCCCTATGATTTGCTTACTAATATTTGGATTGCTGTGACAACTGTATACAACATTCTGTTTTTAAAAAGCGTACAGGCTGGAAGCTGTAGGTTTATTACAGCCAAGAATGTCAGTGGAGTAGAAAAGTTTTGTTGAATGCATGATTTCTTTCCGTTGTATTTTATCCTATGAAGCCATCTTCCTTTTTTTTTTTTTTCAACATTTATTTGTTTTTATTGGAAAAGGAGAGACAGAGAGAAAGATCTTTGGTCCGCTGGTTCACTCCCCAAGTGGCCACAATGGCCGGGGCTGAGTGGGTCTGAAATGAGGTGCTTCTGAGTCTCCCACGCGGGTACAGGGCCCAGAGTCTTGGGGGACCAGCCTCTACTGCTTTCCCAGGCTGCAGGCAAGGAGCTGGATGGGAAGTGAAGCAGCTGGACACTAACTGGTGCCCAAATCACATCCCAGTGTTGGCTAAGTGAGGATTTAGCCACTGAACCGTTGTGCTGGGTCCCTACAAAGCTATCTCAATGTTGAGTAGTATCAGCAAAATATTTGACAGTATGTATTCAACCTTTATCAGCTTGAGACAGATAAGATATGAATAATTTGGAACAATGAATTCATTTCATTTGAGCAATTAAATAAATTGTTTGCCGAGATACGTGGGCACTTGAGTAGGAGGATAAAGACCTGGGGAGAAGGGGCTCTCCTGGCAGGTGGCCTGCTGGGTTGCCTTCTGCACTGCTTCTCCACGTCCAGGTCCTTCTGCTCTAAGTTCCTGCGGCTGGCTGTTCCTGCAGTCTGCCTGCTCGATTGCTTTGTCCATGGCTCCTCTCGGCTGGGCCATGGTGGGTCTGTCACCATGTCCTGGTGCTGCTGATGTCTCCTGCACTAGCCTCTAAATGTACAGGGGAGCCAGGCCCCTGTGTTTTTTATGCACCTTATGTTAGTCTAGCCCATTGTTGGGCTTAATGCTACTGGTGGTTGAATAAGGGGGTGCTTGTGATGTGGAAGTTGAGTAGGACCGAGCAGGACATGGTGCCAAGCACCCCTTGTGCCTCCATGGTGCAGATGGTAAGACACTGTGATTCTTGGTCCTGGCGGCCCCTCCCTAGAGGCCCGGGGCAGTGCCCGGGCCAGCGCAGCTGGGGGGAAGGAGGGCTGTTCCAGGGGAAGGTGGGGAGCGACAGAGAGCGCTGTTCAGAGGCCATAGATTATTTCTGCGTGTGTTTACTAGGAAGCTGGCATGTGAATACGGAATTGAGAAGGGCTTCTTCGAAAAAAAGTGTTATTTGGGAAACAAAACCGTTATACATGTCTTTAAAATAATTAAGTGAAATAGATGAGTGAAATTTTAATTAGGAAACTATTTACATAGCTAAAGCCAAGAAGTGTTCTGGTTATTAAGTGGATTTATGATTGCTTAAGCCACAGGCAAGAATGAAAACGCTTAGCTTGAATAATTTAGGTCATTTAATCTTGAATCTTCCAGCCCTTGGTTGTGTATATAATTATTTGCAAAACAACCAAAAGTGACAGCAGCAGGAATGTAAAACAGTGTTTGATTTAAGCCGTGTGAAGATGATTCTGCCTTGCTCACAGTCCGGGTCTGTGTGTGACTTCACGACAGGCGGTGTACCACAGCGTGAAGCCGGCAGCTCTGCGGCAGCAGCTGGAAAGCCTGCATCTGCAGCAGGACAAGGCGGAGGCGTTCGTGCACACCTGGGCGTCCATGGGCCAGGACACGGTGGAGAAGTTCAGGCAGGGCGTCTTGGCGCCCCACAAGGTACTGAGTGGACTGCCCCAGAGGGCGTTCTCGGTCGCGTGTGGCCTGAAGAATTCTGCGTGGAGAGGTTTGTTGAGAGGTAGAGTCAGGCGAGAGAAAATATATGCACAATACTCCTCTAAGATTATTTCCATATATTAGCATACTTGCTACCACAGTGTGTCTTATTTCCGGTTGTTGATTTTAAATGTATCTTAACTTCAGAATAGGAATGAGACAGTCTTTTTTTCTACCGAAGTCCTCGTGTGGAGATGGTCCTTAGGCATAGTGAGACTCAGGAGTTTTACCGAGCTGTGTAGATCCCTTGTTTTGGGGTGTCTGCGTTGGGGCCGGGTGTGCAGATTGGGTTAGCAGTGAACGAGCCTGTCCCTTTGACCAGGTACAGAAACCACGATGGCGCTCAACGTCTACACGCTTTGGCTTACTTTTACCTATCTATCTATCTATCTATCTATCTATCTATGTATCTATCTATCTATCTATCTATTTATTTATTTTTATTGGAAAGTCAGATGTACAGAGAAGATGAGAGATAGAAAGATCTTCGGTGTATGATTCACTCCCTAAGTGGCCACGATGACTGGAGCTGCACCAATCCAAAGCCAGGAGCCTGGAGCTTTTTGCCAGGCTTCCACGCAGGTGCAGGGTCCCAAGGCTTTGGGACTACTTTCCCAGGCCACAAGCAGGGAGCTGGATGGGAAGTAGGGCTGCCAGGATTAGAACCGGCGCCCATGTGGGATCCTGGTGTGTGCAAGACAAGGACTTTAGCTGCTAGGCTATCTTGCTGGGCCCTTTGGTTCACTTTTCATGGAGATTCTGAAGTTATGTGCAGTTTGCCATTTTTTTCAGTTAATAGTTTGTATTGTGTTAATTAATCTTCAGATTCTCCATGTTGTATCCCTGGGATAAATCTCACTTGTCTTAGAGTATAATCCTTCTGATAAGTTGCTGGATTTGGTTTCCTAATATTTTGTTTAGAATTTTTACACCTGCGTGTTTAAGGCTGTCCCTCTATAGTTTTCTTGTGATATCTCTGGCTACCTTTGGTGTGAGGAAGGGACTGGTTTCATAAAATGAGTTAAAAGTGTTCTTCCACAGCCTTCATGTTTTTGGAAGTGTTTGCAAAGTGTTGGTATTACTTTGCTTTTCCGCTTGCTGTAAATGAGAGCGCCAGCAGTTCTAAGTCCTTGTCAGCACTTGGTGCTGCTGTTTTTGAAGCGTTTCGCTTGGGTTTGTGCGTGATATCTTGTGTTTTTATCTTGCATTTCCTTAATGTGATGTGGATGATATGGTGTGCTGTCTGTGGGTCTGCTGTGGTGAATGTCAGCAAACCTTTTGTTTAACTGGCTTTTCGCATTTGGACAGAGAATTCTCATTATTATAACACGAGGAACAAGCAAGGGAATAAATCCTACCTGCCATATGGAAAGGCAGGGGTGTGGTTTATTCTGACTTGTGGAGTGAGGGTGCTGGCTGTGGTCCTTGGGAGTCTGAGGTGACATGCGTGGCTTGTGGAGCGAGGGTGCTGGCTGTGGTCCTTGGGAGTCCGAGGTGACATGCGTGGCTTGTGGAGCGAGGGTGCTGGCTGTGGTCCTTGGGAGTCCGAGGTGACATGCGTGGCTTGTGGAGCGAGGGTGCTGGCTGTGGTCCTTGGGAGTCCAAGGTGACATGCGTGGCTTGCACGTGTGTGCTCTCCTCTTGCGGGTTTCCTCTGCTGAGCCACACTTGCATTCTGGTGTAGTTGGCTGCATCATCTGTTTTGGGTTCTACTTTTTGGTTTTATATCAGCGTCATAGCTTAGCCCAGTGTCACTATGATCTTCTCTTTTGTTTTCAGTGTTACACACTTTTGTTCAAATTTGGGATTAAGGTCCATTTTGGCTTGATTTTGTGGATGGCGTGTGGTACAGTTCGGAGGTCAGGGTTTGGGTGACTGTTACTTCCAGTGCTGTTTATTGATAACATGATTCTTTCATTCCTGAATTGCTTTCCCCCTTTGTTAAAAAGACAAAAACAAAAATCAGCCACCCCACACAGACTTGTGCAAGCCTTTTGCTGCACCGGACTCTGTATGATTCCATTGATTGGGTCGTCTGTCTCAATGTCAGCTCACGTGTGTGTAGTTCCCGTGGCTAGAGCAAGCCTGACAGCACGTGCTGGCACTCACTCACTTTGTTTTTTGGTTTTTTTTTTTTTTTTTTGGTAATTGCTTTGGCTGTTTGGGTTTCTATGCCTTTTGATAGAACTTTGAAAATCAGCTTTTCTGTTTCTACAAGAGAATCCTGCTGAGAAATTGATTAGGTTTTTGTTATTTTTTTTAGGTCATTTTATCGGGGAAATAACTTTTTTTTTTAAGGATGAAGGGGAAGTAAAGCTATCTTATAACTTCCCAAGAGGCACCAAACCCTCTAACTCTTCCATCCTTTCTCTCTCTCTCTCTTTTTGACATTTTATTTTTATTCAAAAGGCAAAGTTGCAGAGAGAGATAGAGGCAGAAAGAGAGATCCCCTATTTGCTGGTTCACTCCCCAGATGGCTGCAGTGGCTGGAGCTGGGCTGAGCTGAAGCCAGGAGCCAGGGGCCAGGCCCCAAGGCTTTGGGCCCTAAGGGCAGTTGAATGAGAAGTGGGCATGGGGCAAGAACCTGTGCCCACATGGGATGCAGTGCTGTAGGCAGAGGCTTAACCTGATATGCCACAGGGCTGGTCCTTGGCGAAATGGCTTCTTAACAGTACGGGGTCTTCTCATCTATTTAGGGTTTTAAAAAAATTGTCAATGTTTTTCATTTTCACATGTAAGTCCTGCAAATATGTTGTTAAATTTATATCTCAGTATTTTGTTCTTTTTCTGAGCTGCAGTGAATGGCGGTGTCTCACATTTTTGTTTTCCATTGTTTATTGTGAGTGTACAGAACTAGCGTTGATTTTTTGTATTGACTTTGTGTCTTGAGAGCTTGGTGAAACACTAAGCATTTTTATAGATTCTTGTGTTTTCTAGGTGAGCAGGAACATCTTATGTAGATGGCGATAGTTTCTTTCTCTCTAAGATTTACTTTATTAATTTGCAAGCCAGAGTTACAGAGAGGTAGATCTTCCATGCCGGGTTCACTCCTCAGACGGCTGTACCGAGCAGGCTGGGTGAGCTTGTTCCGTCAGCAGGGAGCTGGCTGGGAAGTGGAGCAGATGGGTCTCGGGACTGGAGTGGGTATCTGTGTGTTGATGTGTGATGAGTGGCAGCCTAACTGGCTATGCTGCAATGCCGCCGGTAGCTGAGTTTCTTGCCTTCTGGTCTTTATGTTGTTACTGATTGTTCTTGAGTTGTTTTGCTGTTGAGGACTTGTACTATGATAGGTTTGAGTCCCCTTGGCTCCGTCTCGGTTTCAGAGGAAGCGTATAGATTGTTTCTGCTGAGGACATTAGCTGTCAGTCCTTAGGAAATGCCTCTTGGTTGTGCTTGTCTCCCTCTTGGTTTTTTTTTTTTTTTTTTAAATTCTGTGTCCTAACTATTTGCAAGCATTCCCCACTTCACTACTTAATTTTTCATAATTTGAATTTCTATTTATTCCTGCATTCTGTACATATATTAAATTTTCCAATGCAATACTTAGTTCTTTGAACTGCCTTGATTAAATGAAACCCTTCTGCCTCTTAATATGCATCTATTCTCTATATATAGAATCCATTTTGCATTTTAGCGGTCATGCTGTGCATTTTAAATTATATTTTTTTCTGCTTCCAGTAGTATGTCATTTTTTAGTATCTTCTGGATGACATTTATATTTTTTAAAACAGTATTCCCTCCCAAAGCTTGCATAATTTTATTTTATGTTTTAGAAATGTTTAATCAATATCTAATAAAGTGTCCAAAGAAGAAGTTGGAAGAACTGGATTAATTGTACCTTGGTTTCTGAGAAAGGAGCTTATCTTTTGTCGATTCCTTGTAACGTGATGGGGTAGCTAATACTTTAATACTTCAAATGCTTAATTTAAATCATATAATAGTAGCAAGCATTTCTTCTGTTTATTGTGGGATAAATATTTTTTTTTTTTTTTTTTAAAGATTTATTTTTATTATTTTTTCACTGGAAAGGCGGATATACAGAGAGGAGAGACAGAGAGGAAGATCTTCCGTCCGATGATTCACTCCCCAAGTGAGCGCAACGGGCCGATACTATGCCGATCCGAAGCCAGGAGCCTCTTCCGGGCCTCCCACGTGGGCGCAGGTTCCCAAAGCTTTGGGCTGTCCTCGACTGCTTTCCCGGGCCACAGGCAGGGAGCTGGAAGGGAAGCGGGGCTGCCGGGATTAGAACCGGCGCCCATATGGGATCCCGGGCGTGCAAGGCGAGGACCTTTAACCACTTGCGCCACCGCGCCGGGCCCGGATAAATATTAAATTAAGTGATTGATAGCTCAGTAATCTGTTAATAGTTATAGTTTACACTTGTATTAAATATCTGCCCATGATTAGTGCCACTAAGTATGTGGCTGAGTTGGGATTTGAGACAGCCAGTCACTTTTTTTTAAGATGTGTTTATCCTTTTGAAAGATTTATTTATTTTTATTTGCAAGAGTTACAGTGAAGGAGGGGGAGACAGATCTTCATGGACTGGTTAACTCTTCCAGTTGGCAGTAACAGCTGGAGGAGAGCTGATGTGAAGGCAGAAGCTGGGAGCTTTTTCAACTTCTCCCACCTGGGTGCAGGGACCTAAGGACCACCTCCTGCCTTCCCAGGAGTATTAGCAGGAGACCGGGTCAGAATTGGAGCAGCTGGGATACAACTAGCACCTATGTGGGCTACAGGCACCGCAGTCTGAGGATTGCCTACCATGCTACCATGTCGGCCTCTAAAGATTGAATTATTTATTTGAAAAGGCAGAGTGGGAGCCATAGAGATCTTCCTCTGCAGTTTACTCCCCAAATGGCTCCAATGGCTAGAACTGGACTGGTCTGAAGCCAGGAGCCAGGCAGTTCCTCTGAGTCTCCCACGTGAATACAGGGAGCCAA